AAAACACAACACTGATCTCTAACTCTCATGTCTCGCGTTGCCAGTAGTCATGTCTCAGTAGGGCTGCAATTGCCATCTAGCGGTTGGGAATTGTAATTGCATTTTTATTTATAAAATGAAAGACGAATTCAAGCCGAATATCATTAATATCATATAATGTGTATGATTGTAACATTTAACAGCTTGTGGGATGCATGACATCATATTATCAAATAAACATTTAAATTAGCATTATTTTGGCATAATAAATAATGCTATATTTAATAATGCTGTAAAATAATGAAATAAAATAATGCTAATTTAAATGTTTCGAAAGTTTACTTGCATTTGATAAGTAGCTGCGTGGGTGAAAATTACATGTAAACAATTTTAAGGCTATTTTGACTATGCTCATCGCTGGTCTGGTTACTGGTATAGGGCTATAGCCAAGCCGTTCAAATTAGACCACAGATTGTCTCGATTTTGCCAGGTGGGCTAAAAGCAGACTACACGTAGCCCGCCCAATTTAGAGCTAAATCGTGGCTACATATAGACCATGTCATAAAATGCCACTTATATCTTTGTAGATATTATTGACACTGTGAACATGATGGGATATCAACCATCTCATGCGCTGTCTGGCCAAAAACTACAGTGAATCAAGTTTGAATGTAAGTGGGCTACAGATTTCCGCTCTGACTACGAACTAAATCGTGGCTACGCACAGGCTAAGTATTGAACATGTCAAAGAAATTCAATTCAATTCAAGTTTATTTGTACAGCGCTTTTCACGATACAAATCAAATTGGGGTAATATGATCATATTTTCTTGACCTGGTAAGGACTCTAGCTGCTGCATGAAATGAAACCAAACACCTTGTAAACGCTTTGCTTACATGATGGAATATCATACATCTCACAAGTTATTTTGCCAAAAAACGACATGAAACCAAATACAAAGTTATTTGGGCTAGAAGTGGGTTTCACATAGCAGGACTATATCGGGTCTATACTTAACTGAGACGTTGAAATGACGGCTATTGCTTGCTGGGCACATACAATCGTTGGTGTCAGTCGCAAATATTTTACATGTTTTAGGCTACAATGCAGTGTTTCACTAGCTCCATTCCCATGGACACCTTTTGTTTGATCTGGATATTTCCAGCGTAAGACGTGTGATTAATCCATATCTAAAGCCGTATCTACATTGGATGACCACACAGGAAGTGGCGCGAGGCGACAAATCTTCTACAGTAACTGATGCCTTCTATACTGAATCTTTGAAACAAGCGTTGTATGTGTTGAAAGTGAAACCTAAAAAAACAGCTCGCATAAGAAAGATTGCACGCTTTCGTGCGCTTCAGCAAATGCACGCCATCACAGATTGCACGCTTCCCAGCCGAAACAACCCCCCACGTGAAATTGAAATAATAACCCGTGAAATAAGATTTTGGCCATACTGCCCATCTAAATCATTCATCCCACACTATCAACAGGTGCGTCATGTAGGCTACACTTCTTGTACTTCGTTTGGGCACCACAATTAAGGTGTCACTGTGGCCTGAAAGCTATAGATAAATACATAAATGTGAAAATAAATAAATGTATAAATAAATAAAAGACAAAAATTAATAAATGTGGGGAAAAAATACATAAGGAAATAAAATTATAAATAATAATAATTTTTTGCTTTTTTACTTTTCTTTGTATATTTATGTATTTATTTATATTTGCTTTTTACATTTCTTTGTACATTTCTTTATTTATTTATTTCTAATTAAGCCAGCTTTGGCATTCCATATTAAGGTAGCAATATGTACTCTTACGGTTTTGAACACCCTAAAGGTACGATTTTTGCATTTTTGCTTGCTTTTGTTTTCATGCATTTATTCATGCCCCTCTTCATTACCCTACGGACAAAGAAATGTAGAAATAAATAAATGTGGAAATAAAGAAATAAATACATAAATGTGAAAATAAATAAATGTATAAATAAATAAAAGACAAAAATTAATAAATGTGGGGAAAAAATACATAAGGAAATAAAATTATAAATAATAATAATTTTTTGCTTTTTTACTTTTCTTTGTATATTTATGTATTTATTTATATTTGCTTTTTACATTTCTTTGTACATTTCTTTATTTATTTATTTCTAATTAAGCCAGCTTTGGCATTCCATATTAAGGTAGCAATATGTACTCTTACGGTTTTGAACACCCTAAAGGTACGATTTTTGCATTTTTGCTTGCTTTTGTTTTCATGCATTTATTCATGCTTATATACATCAACTTAAAACACACACTCACACCATATAATCAAATTCAGAAGAGTAAGAGTTTGACTTTGTTATCATCAGGCCAAAGTTGAAGCTTAAGAACTTTGGATTGCGCTCATCGCCTGGGTGTGTAAAACTTAATTTTCTTAAAAATGACTTCTTCTTTTTTTTTTTAAGTTGATCCGTAGTTAATGGGGGCTACTGCTCTAGATAAAAACATTCTTTGCTCATGATTGTTTTTATGGTTCTGATCAGATGACTAGTGAGAGATGGAAATAGATAAACTGGGAAACCCATATTTTAAATTTGTATTAACTCCATGAACCAATAAAATGTCTGTTGTTCTTTCTGCTTATTCATTTGTATTACAGGATTTTGTATAACCAGCCCAGTGTGCTGGTAGGGTGAGTATTATGTTTTTTATATCAACCTGTTATAGCACATTTCCACTCATGAATGGAATGATTACAGTGCTGTATGTGTGTTTTAATGAAGTCGGACAGATGTTGCTTCTGTAACATCATGGTTAGCCCCAATCATTTGGGAGGGAACCTTTGACGCCACACTGATCGACTTTATCTACAAACAACAGAATCTCAGCATAGCGACCACTGTCTTCGCTTTGGGAAAGTGAGCTCCTCATGATGTCTCTCATCTTGTATCAGTATTTCTCATTTGTTTCCTCTCCTCTGTTTTTCTTTGTTTCTGGAAATAGTCATGATTAAAGGATAAATCAATTAACCATAATATATCTCCCTGTATTTGTTTTCTCTATTTGTTAGATATACAAGTTTTCTCAAAGATTTTCTGGAGTCAGCAGAGCAGCATTTCTTTGTTGGATTTCGAGTGCATTACTACTTGTTTACGGATCTACCAGAAGAAGTTCCTGAAGTTAAGATGGGTGAAAACCATAGTTTGACAGTTCGAAAGGTTCCAAGTTTGAACAGATGGCAGGACATTAGTATGGGCAGGATGGAAATACTGGAAAAACTAATAGAGAATGAACTGGCCAAAGAGGCTGACTATATTTTCTGCCTTGACGTAGATACAAAGTTCTATGGCCGTTGGGGTGTGGAGACTTTGGGTCATCTGGTAGGTGTGATACATCCTTGGTTCTTTGATGCTCCAAGAGATCGACTCACATATGAGCGTAGACCAGAGTCTCAAGCATACATTCCAGCTGGGGAAGGTGATTATTATTTTACTGGCGCTGCATTTGGTGGCTCACTGGAGGATGTACATCATCTCACCAAAACCTGCCGAGAGCAGATGAACATTGATGCTGCAAACTCCATTGAGGCGATATGGCACGAGGAATCTCACTTGAACAAGTATTTCCTTTATAACAAACCTAGTAAACTGCTTTCACCTGAATATCTGTGGCGGGACATCAATGCCGGGGCAGCCCAAATAAAAATAATTCGCTTCTCTCATGTTGCTAAAAACAATGCAGACGTTCGTCCAAACCCATAGCAACTGTTGCCAGTACTCAGCTACACTGAAATGGTGTGTTCTCACAGGCCTCCTATATGACATTGTAAATTTGTTAACAGGTAATACTGAAAATGATGGAGTCGACAACTGCCACCATAAAATGGATAATCACAGACATGTACAGATATTTGAGCACAAAGTGGCACCAGGAACTAAATCTGCCAAAGTCTTCTTGAATAAACACAATATGAACTTATCTAACATTCTGCAATGCTCTTGAGTTAATAATGCAACCAAACGGAATCTGTGTGTATTGAAAGCACTGACATCCCTTTGTTTTACCTTTTTTTTTAAAAAAGAGATTTGATGGAGGAAGTTTAGGGAGAAAGTCAGGTAGATACAGAGTATAAATCTAAAACCAATGGTGAACTTGAAATGGTATTTTCTGTGTACTACTGCATAAATATGATTTTACTTTTTAGCGTGATCTCAGGTATTTGCGTGCAAGGTTGTACCTGCCTTTTTTTATGTTTGGGTATACACTGAAACAATGTGTAACACGTGACATATTGACACCATAAAAACCTGTATGTATGCACAGCTTTTGAAACATCAAATATTTTATATATTTATGTTATTTATTGAAAAATATATTGTGAGATGTTTGAATTCTGTTTGTTTGCATTTGTATAAATATAAATGTACTTATGAATATACACTTTAACATAAACACATTAATAGCTATTGTAGATTCAATATTTTGAACCAATACTAAACATAACAGCTTTTCAACAATATAAAAAATACATAACAATAATTAGACATGCTAGATTTTGTTGAATAAAAGTGATGGCATTGAACATATTTTATGTCAATGAATAAATACAATAAAATCAATTATATATATATATATATATATATATCATCTGTACGTCTCTAAAGTTATGGTAATGACGTATACAAATATGTCTATGCAAATCTATGCAAATGAAAAAAAATACAAAAATGTATGTGTTCTAAAACCACATTTTGTATATAAAGGTCACATTGCACTTCTTGAGGTTGATGGGCTTTTAGATGTTGCTGTCAAATTCTGAATGCATGTATACTGTTTTTGTCAGGTTTTTTTTAGGTAGTCAATTAAATATAATTTTTATTTCTACCACTCTGTACTCAGCAAAAAAAAAAAGCTTTTGGAAAAACCAATATGAGCATTGAATGTGTGCTACTGATGGTTTCTTGAATACTAAGAAAAATACTTATATTCTCACTGACGCAAATACTTATACACATATAGCCTACCTCAGTTTTTTCTTTGTCTATTTCACTTCTTTCTTTCTTTTTTTTCTCCTGTTGTCTCTTGTGGAGAAAAAAAAACGTTTTTGAAGAGGGGGGAAATGTTTTGAAAAGAAAAGAAAAGATTAGAGGGAAAAAATGTTTTTTTGAAGAGGAAAAAATGTATAGAGAGAATAGAAATCTTAGGACTTAGGCTCAAGAAAGCTCTTAGACTATTTTTTCCCCTCTCAGGCTGCGGTTAAGGGCTTAGGCTACTTAAACTTTTGAGTATTTTTTGTGGGAGTGACTACAATGATAAACAAGATTTTAGGGCTTTCATTTCTCTTCATCTGTGGCTAAATGCTTTATCAAATTTATAAATAACAGCTAATGCCACACAGAGACATTTTTAAAGGAGTCATAAAATGGGTAACAACAGTTTTCTTATTTTGGCTTATTTTAACGGTCATTTTCAGAACTTCCCAGTCCAAAAAGATCACGCATTTACTACAACTGCGAAAACGTCTCGTTATAAAATCAGTTCTATCTAGAAATCAGGACGTTGTTCTCATTTGCATGGTCCCGCACACCTCATCGTCGTGGTCAGAGAGATCGGTTCAGGTAGGAAAGTTGCAGGCTGGTGGCTGCCATTGTATAAACACGAAAAGATCAAAATGTCACATAGTTCCTCACAGTTTGTTGTAGGAAAAAACATACATGTCAGTATAGCTTTTCGACGGATCCCAACGATAGGAGTACGTGGCTAAAGTGGATTTTTAACGATGTGATGTGATTAATTATACAGGGACGTAGGCTATAGGCCCTTTCTTTGTCACAAATGCGTTTGTTGCTGTTTTGCATGAAGATATTGAAAGGTAAACTTTACATTGTTCCTTGTAACATCACGAAATGCACCTTTTATTGAAACTATAATTAAATTAACCCCCAACAAAACGGCTCAAAACTAGAACCCCATTCAAAACAAATCCTCTTTAACTATCACTAATATTGAATGTGTTTATTTTTTTTAGCAGCAGAGATACAACTCATCTTGTCATGCGTGGCTGTGGGAAATAAAAATGATCTAAAATTATTGCAAACTGAACAGTCTTTTACACCTAGTTATTCATTTCATCCAATACTCTTTTGTTGATTTTCACAGTATACTGAGATCTACAGTATTTTTTTAGAATGAATTAGATTTTCATTGATGTTTACCTGTGTTTGAACATGAGGGTGGGTCCCTCAAACAAAAGGTTTTTCAAAGTCAAAGAACCAGTTCTTTATGTATTGTGTTATATTTCAGCACCTGCTCCATACTCAATGCAGAAATTCTTTTTGAAAGCAGGTTAAGCTCCACTGGTGTGCTGAAGGATACGGATTACCTTTAGATGTTGTGTGGTTATGGTTGTAGTTGTTGATTTGGTCTTAATGTAAAGTCCCACCCTTGCCAGGCTGTATTTGACATTCAAATCTCTCCTGCAGCATGACAGCACACTGTTTCATGCCCAATATTTTCGCTCTCATTTTCCAGTTCAGTCCATTGAGTGAATACGGACACAAGACCCAGCTGATACAACAATAATGCGACTCCGTCAGAGAGTTCATTTCTTCTTTCTTGGGATGTGTGTTGGCTTGTCACTGAGTGGGTATGTATAAATTATATTTAAAATATGTAGCTGATTTACTCACACTTTTGGCATTTGAATGTTAAATGAATTACAGTATTAGTTGTGAATCTGTTTATGCCTTGTAATTTTCATATATGCTCCCTGGTCACTTTATTAGGTTACCGCAAATATAATCAGCCTATCACATGGCTGCGACTCAGTGTATGTAGGCATGCAGTGTTGGGAAAGTTGCTTTTAAAATTTATTTCACTTCAGATTACAAAATACATGCTTTAAAACAGGGTTGGGCATTTCCAGTCCTGCAGAGTTTAATTTCATCCTTAATCTAAGGCTGGCCGCACACTACAGGATTTTAAGGCCGATTTTAAGGGGGGAGGGGGGGATTAAGGCCGGCTTGTCGCAAGCAATTTTTTTTTTGTCCAAAACATCCTCTATTGTGTGGTGCCATTACGATTATTTAACTGCTCCCGATCGAGATGGAGTGTCGCTGAACTCAATTCGTAAATATCAAACAAGTTTGATATTTACGACTCTTGATCTGGCTGCCTCTGACGTAATACCCGCGATAGCCAATGAGAGTGAGCAAGCGTCACCTACCGGATGTTGCGTGCTTCTATAGCTGAAACTTGTTAGCCACAAACATGCCATGAAAGCAAAGAACATCACCCATATTCTTTTCTATACTTTGTTTTTCACTGTGAAACAGAATGCGCGCCAGGAGAGCCAGCTGACAACTGTTGATTGTATTCTATTTGTTTTTCTTCTCTAGTCTCGTTTGATCTCGCGAGTCTCCATGAGATCACGTGTCACTGTGAAAATCGTTCCTACAATTGACAAGTGTGTGGTCTCACAGTCTGGTCTAATTGTCTAATGTGTGCGTTCAGAGGATTATAAGGCTAAAAATTGGTTGAACTGTCTTCATGTCTGTGGTCTCCCATGGTTTTAAAATCGTTTAAGATTTGAAAATCGTCTAGTGTGCGGCCAGCCTAACATAGTTGATTAATCTAACCACAGTATTCAGAATTACTTGAAAATTGCAGGCAGCTGTGTTTGATTAGAGATGGAGTTAAACTCTGCAGGACAGTGGACCTCCAGGACCAAGTTTGGACACGCCTGATTTAAGTACTATAGAATACTTAAGGTATGTAATACAAAGGGAAATATTAACTTGGATGTCTTGTTTTTATGTTAACCACCTCTAAAAAATTTACATCCACCAAACATAGGACTTGGTTTTCCTCTGCATTTTATTTTCATCAGTTTTCCACAGCATTTGTTGAAAAAATAATTCAGACAGTCCTTTTTAAAACATTTAATGTACAAATCAAAACAAATTTAATAAAGTGCTTGCCATTCTCAATTTTCCCTCAAATGTCATAAAAATGTAAAAAAAAAAAAAATTATTTAAACACATGAACACTAAAAATGGATATTAAATTTTTTTACCTGCATGTTAACGGGACCATTAAGCAACATTGACCGTAAACTGTAAACATATTGTTAAATTATTGAGAGATATTTCAAGTAAATATCGTTTTGGTATGTATGTATATATGTGTGTACATATATGTAGATATACACACACACAAAAGACACTTTTATTTGTGAAGTAGCTTGCATGTGCTGCAAGCACACAGTTTGCCTTATTTGCCTTGCCTTAGTAATTTGGCTGCTAGTTAAACTTACAAATTCTAAAGACATCACAATGTCTTCAAAGAACACTATGTTGACATAAAAGGTAATAAAAATAAAAAGGGAGAAAAATGATACAGAGACAAAAAGATTATTCGAGTCTGAGAAGTAACTTTGTTACTTTCCCAAAATGCAGACAGTGGTCGTTATGGTGATGTTTTGTTTGTAGATCAGTATGTAGTTAGTTTCCATCCCAAACAATGTAAAGAATTTAATATTAACTTCTTGTTTTTGAATTGTATAAAATAAGTATCACATTTGCAGTCATGCTGATTTTTGGGAAACAGCACTCTTCTTCCTTTCTGATGTTGCCTAACTATACCGTTAGTTAGTGTAAAAACACTAAGTGATCAGCTTACCTAGCTTCTTAGAGAACAATTTGCATTAAATACTTAGAAACGCATCTAGGGGACATAGTTGGATAACTTAAATAGACATATATGTTGAATATGCATTATGATTGGATGAGATCAAAGCATCTGCATTTGAAGGTATAAATGTTGCGTTGGGGCTGTTTCTTCTTAGTCGCACTCTGCAGTCAACTTGAATGACTGTATGACTGTTGAACTTTTCTTGCAAGAAAATAAATATTCAAAAGACTTTTGTCTCATACCTTTATTGAAATAGAAAATTGCCACGACAGCATGGCTTTCCGATTTCCCCTGCATTTTTGTTAGTCCTGACAAGCTTGTGCAAGTTACAAATTGAATAGACATGGGTCAACACGATCTGCTGAAGTACAAACTGAGCATCAGAATGTGAAAGAAAGGTGATTTAATTGACTTTGAATGTGACATGGTTGTTAGTCCCAGTTGGGCTGAGGCCTGTTTCATAAAGTGCGCTAAGAAAAGTGGATTTAAATCCAAAACCTGACTTGAAATAACCTAACAAATCAATCGGAGCTAAAATGGTTCCATAAATGACCATTTAAGTTCATGCAAACTCACTAATTTGTCCCAATTCAATGAGTCAAGATAATTTGATGTGCACTATTCTTAAGCAGCCCTTAATGTAGATCATGGATCAAATCAATCCACCATAATAATAATAATTATACATTTTATTTGTAATGCGCCTTTCTTAATACTCAAAGCGCTACAACATATACAAACAAAATAACAAGTCAACCAAAACTACAAATATCAAAAATAAAATCATAGTAATAGTCATAAATTAAAAGCTTCAGTTAAAAGGTACGTCTTCAAAAGTTTCTTAAAAAACTTAAAAGTGCCATAGAATGCATTGATACAATATTTTAAATTGTTCTCTGATGTCCCCAGAGTGTGTATGTGAAGTTTTATCTCAAAATACCCCACAGATCATTTTTTATAGCTTGTTGAAATTGCCACTTTTAGGGTATGAGCCAAAACGCGCAGTTTTTTGTGTTTGTCCCCTTTAAATGAAAATGAGCTGGTGCTCCCGCCTCCCTTTTCAGAAGAGTGCAGAGCTTCAAGAGCGCATGCTCGCAGGCATACCTTAGTGTTACGTAGTACGTAGTGTTACAGTTTAACTGGTGGTGACCGTGTTACTGATCCTCACATTGCTTCCAAATGCAATTTTTAACTACCACATTCCTATTTACGATCATTCTAGTAGCACGTGAAGACAGCATTAGTGAAAACGGGCAGAGACAATGGTAGCTTTAGCAACATTAGCCTTACAGAGAGCCAAGAAGCTCTTTTGGAAAACAAAATATGAGGCGTTATGCTTACTTTGTATGGACGCTTGCGCACGAAGCGTTGGTATCGATCCCTCTTTCAGAAGCAATCTTTGCACAACTCCAGCGCTGAACTGACCCTCGTTTGTGAGGCAGTCTGGCATAAAATGTTAGCACAAACGTATAGGACTTTTCCGTTTTTTTCCCCGGGACATTTCCTTCGAAAATGAAATTTAACCACTGTGTCCTCAGTGGTCTATGGAGACTCCTATGTTCGTTGGTGCATCCCAACACAGAACACTTTTAATGGCTCTTTGGCTCTGACAGTGTTCCTTCAGCAGCTACAGCAAGAAAACAGTAATGGCGAACCACTGCTTCTCACTCAGGGCTGTGTATATATGCTAATAGGGCAGAGAGTGTCACAAATGGGTGGGACTTTCCCCGAGTATGATGTCATAGTAGTGAGAAATCTGGAACTGCTAGTGTGGAGAGACTGTTTATGATTTATTGGGATTATAAAACAATGAGTGGGTGGATTTTTACCATTATAGGCTGGTTGTTTTCACACACTGCATGTTTTCACACAACTATGTTCAAACACCTTATAAAAGTGATTTTTGCGTTTTATGGCACCTTTAAAAAACCGATCATAAAAAACATATTTGTGCTGTTTAATGCATTTAAGACATTGTGTTTTCCTCAGTGCATACAGTAACTGACATGTCACAGGTACATGTATATTCTCCATCTTTAACACACACCATGCTGGCTTCATCTGGCCAAAGGAGAAGTGGCCCTCAAACTGAGCCTGGTTTCTCTCAAGGTTTTTTTCTCCATTTCTGTCACAGATGGAGTTTTGGTTCCTTGCCACTGTCACCTTTGGCTTGCTTAGTTGGGGACCCTTAATTTCTGGCAATATTGTCGACTTGATTGCACAGACACTATTTGAAGAGAACTAAACTGAGCTGGACAATGACATCACTGAATCAATGATGAACTGACTTTAACTGAAAAACGGACTGTTTATTGTCCTCTTGCATTATCAACAAACTTTTTTCCTCTTTAAAGCTGCTTTAACACAATCTGTTTTGTATAAAGCGCTATATACATAAAGGTGACTTGACTCCATCTGAAAATGCTGGAATGCATATCTATTTTGCTGTCAAGAGTGGGTGAGGCTTATGCGCATGCATGCTAAACAGATGGATATTTTTATGATAGCAGTAACTGTAAAGGAACTATTGTAATGGGAAATTCAAATGTAAGCTAATTCAGTCCTAATTACTAAGATCAAATAAGTTGATGTGTGTTCCTCTTACCAGTTAAAATGTAGTCTGTTTTTGTTTATATACTTTCATTTATATTTGAGTGATTTTAACTTTTAATTTAGTTATTTTAGCTGTCAAAAAAAAAAACAAAGGCTGCATGGCTAGAAACTGTTGATCAACTGAATGTGCAAGTAGCAACCATGTTTAAATGTTTTCATACATCTTAAAACAATGTCATTAAATCTTGGGCACAATACATTAAATATAGTCCGTTGCAGCCTATATTTGTATTTATTTGATCTGTTATTTAAGTTGCATTTTCGATATACTTGTATTTTTGGACTGATAGTGGTTGAAGGCAAATAATTGTATGTGAGAGAGTCAGTGGTAATATCATTACG